AGGAGAAATCTAGTTAAACATGTATGGGGCCGAGCCATGAGCAAAATTAAGTATTTTAAAAAGCATTAATAGACAATACAATTTAACTAACTGAAACTAATCGGTTTCATTTTTTTTTTAGAATGCGTTAATTAAAATGTCAAGTAAATTGGTATTGAAGAGATACCAATTCAATTTCTTCTTCTTCAATTACACTCTAGTTTAGTAAAATTTATGTTTAGATGTGTAGGATTTACATAAATTGCATGGGGTTGTATTATTCAAGGACAAATACTCGTATTTTTAAATTATTGTTTGTTGTAGTTAGAAGGTTATAGTGTTTTTTTTTTTAAATATTATAAATCTGTTTACTGCTTGCATAGGTATTTATACTACAGTCGGGATAAAAACTAGGCGGCGGAAGTCGATCGTCAGAGCTGAACGTGCTTGGTCGTGCGTATTGCAGCTAGTTTGAGTAAGTTTAATACATATATAGAACGTTGAGGAGATCTAGGTAAGTCTTTATTGTTCATTATTTTTGTAGGATTTACTATCCGTATTTATATTCCGGTCTGAGTAACGTAGTAATAGTTGACTAATTAGATCTAGTTTCCCTGCTAAATTTACTTACTCATTCATCTTTGAATATGATAGGGTGATAAATGACCCTCTATAGGTCTCTGCAGTGTATTGAATCGAGTTATAACTGAGGCGAGACGACTACTTTGGTTGATCAGATCAACAAGGCCGCGGTAATAGCTACACAGGTGGTCTGAAACGTTTCCGACCTCAAGACGAAGATGGCAAAACTCGTGAATAAAAGCTAGTGAATTTCGTTGTTCATCTGTTGACAGTTATTAACCAAAGTGAAATTTAGGGCAGCTGAATTTAAACGTGGCCGTAAGAGCTTGGGAGACGACGAACGTTCCGGACGTCCAAAAACTGCAACTACCGTCCAAAATATTGCCAAAGTTCACCAAATGGTGCTAGATAACGGCCGAATTAAAGAGATAAAGAGAGCAGAGGTTATGAACATATCAAAGAAAGTGTTTATCACACATTAAATCAACATTTGGACATGAGAAAGCTGTCCGCGCGTTGGGTGCCGCGTTTGGTCACGTTAGACCAAAAACGTGTTTGAATGAACATTTCCGATGCTCTGTTGGCGAAGTTTAGGCGCATTACTGTAGATGAAACTTGGATACACCATTATACGCCCGAAACAAAAATAAAGATGCCGACTGTTTTTTGGAATAGTCCAAAAAACAGTCGCCATCTTTATTTTTGTTTCGGGCGTATAATGGTGTATCCAAAAAAGGAAAAACTATTACAGGAGCATACTAACTTGCGGCCACATTTGCAGGAAAAGAAAATCCTGTTTCACCAAGACAACGCACCGTCTCAGACCTCAGCGGTCGCCATGGCGAAAATCTGAAGTACGGTTTGAACTGCTTGACCATCCGCCTTACTCACCAGTTCTAGACTTATTTTGCAGAGAAAAACGCCTAGTACTATTTGGACGGCTTACAGAGATGGGAGCATCGCTGGGAGAAGTGTGTAGTTACAAGGAGACTATCTTTGTTAGGTCGGAAACTTTTCAGACCCCTCTCGGACACGGTTATCCTTCAGTGACCCTTCATTGTGGTGTATTTAAGTAGGCGGTTAGTGTAGGTTGAGTGAGTGCCGTGTGCTTGAGTGGAGAGTGTCTTAATGGGCTTTTCCTGGTGGTTGGCTTGCGGGAAAGCGCTGATGCTGCTGATGCTCTGGTGGAGATCGAGCGGTCCGAGTTCGCCGTTGGCGCACGCGTTGTGTCCGGTAGCATAGGGGCTAATGCAACATCATACGAGCAGTATTCAAGTGTCTGACCTTGCAGTCTTGAGGATTCAGTTTTAGAACAGACTAGGATTATTGAGGTACCATCACAGTGTCATAGAGCCTCAACTGTTATCTCCACGCCCGTCCTCATCCAGGACGGAGGTCGTTCAGCGACCTTCGTGCTTTATAAGCGCAGACCGATGGTCGTCACGAGATGCGCAGTGCGGAGCGCCGTATCCACGCAGTTCATAATATTCACGTTTTAACTATTTTAGCTTTAAAATAGCATGCTGCTCCACCATAACCTTCGTTAACTAAATACAGACGCCAAGAAATTCGACTGACGGCTAATTGTTTAATGATGTTTACTTGTTTAAGTTTAACTTCCATCGATCAAAGTAATGTCAAACTGTAAACAAAAATGTTTAAGTCTGCTTCAAAGTTTTTTAAGTTACATAATTTAAACCATGCTCGAAGGTTGTTCACTTGTGTATCGCCCGATGAAAAAACAAGCAAGCAGATAAATTACATCATGGTTCGGTCGCAATAGCTATCATCTATTACAAACGCTAACACACTACCTGAAGCTGATTGCGGGTCTGACCAGAAACTTTTAGTCAGAAAACTAAATCTAAAGCTGACAGCTGTCAGAAACACTAAGAAACCGACAAGGCTCGAAGTGAGGGGCGTTCTGGTATTTCGCTTGGCGATTGAAGAGAACTGGTCGAGGTGGTCTGGTGCGGATCTTGCCAACGAATCACCCGATGCACTATGAAACCGAGCTAAGACACTCGGACTACACTACAGCTGTCTCGGAAACCGCCTAACCAACTGCAACCCTCAAAAGACAGCACTGGATGACAGACAGTACTTTCAAGCTTGTAGAAAACCGTCGGATGATGAAAACGGAAGGAGCTGGTACCAAGGATCAAAACAAAATGACAGCACAGATACAACTTAGATGCAGAGAAGATCAAAATACCTACCTGCTGCTGAAGTTAATGCTGACAAATATGAATCAAGAGACCTGTATCAAAAGATCCACCCCATCACAAAGAACTTGGGCCATCGAAGACCAGAACAGCCAAGTGGTTACTGAACTGGATAAAATTTCAGAGGTTTGAAGGAATTACTGTCCGTCTTTCTTCCAGAACCATCAGTCCCAAAATTTTAGACCTACGGAACCTGAGAGAGACACGCTCGAGCCCGTTATTTTGGAGTCAGAAATAAGAGCTGCTATTTAACACCTATGTCCAGCAGTGGACTGTTAAAGGCTGTTGATGATGATGATGATTTAACACCTAAAGAATGGGAAAGCCACTGGAAAAGTTGACATCCCAATTGAAACCATATGGGCATTGGGAGAGCGTGGCGTTTAGATCTTTCACGTCATCTGCAATAGAATATGGCTTACTGGTAAATGGCCTTCTGAATGGGCTCACACAGTATTCACTTATTTTCACAAAAAAGGGTAGCTAACTTCCGACTTATTGCGTTTATCATACATGCCAGCAAAATAATGCTACATATCATGAATGAGCGGCTGAAAGTATATCTATCCTGAGCAATTCAATCCTCTTCCTTTAACAATCCAGAACAAGCTGGATTTGTTCAAGGATAGTTTCCATCCCAGTGCGGGCGTTCGACAAGGATGCATAATCTCACATTTACTATTCAACATCTGCACCGAGCTTGTAATGCTAATCACAATCAACAATCGTTATCAATGATCGATGAAATAAATCACAATAGAACTCTCCGTTCCTCAAACAATCCACTCTGCTATGCCCCACTCATACTCGTACTTCCGTGTGTGTCCACTCCTCGATCCTAATCCATTCTGTCCTCCCTCAGAACGTTCTCCTTCTGGAAATCAGGACTGGAGAGGCGACTGGGTGATATCACCCAGTCGCCTCTCATTCAAGACAAAAGTCCGAGCCCACATTTTACACTCCCTACCAGATTCAGCATATCCTTAAAATTTCATATATATTATTATTTGTGTATTTATGTATATAACTCAGTAACTAAATATGTGTGTATTTATATCCATCCCACTCTTCTGTCCATCTTCTGTAATTATTGTTTTCTCTAATAAAAATACTTAATATAATGGACCTAGTTAGGAATTTCCCCGCCAACCAAAAGTAGACCTGTAGAAAATGTCTTAAGCATTAAGTCCGCCATTTTACAATCAAAATTTGTGCGTTAAATATTAAAATAAATAAGTACTGCTAAAGTAGACATAACACGAATCAATATAAACATACCAGTACATATTTGTCACAGAAAAACAAATGTAGCGGTCAAGGCTTTGATTGATGATAGGTCATGAATTTGAACTGTTGTGGTGAACCAAGTTCAACATCAGTCGGAGGCATATTTATCCTTGTTGTAAAAGTAAACAGACCGAACAAGTCACGTACATTTTTTATTTATTCAGAAACGTAAATGAAAATTAACTTCTAAAATTAAAAAGAGGCGAAGTTGTATTGATCTGCGTAACTAAATGCTTTTCAAAATCCGATTTATAACATGTTTTGAAATGACCAGAATATCGAGCGTCGTTAATAGAAACTAATAATTATTTCTTTGGTTTTGGCAGAATTATGTTTATTAATTATTTTTTATTAAATTATATTTATTCATTATATTTATTTTATTTATATTTACGTTAAGTCAAAGAAAAAACATATCAACTAAACACGGGCGAGTAAGTCCTTTACAAATTGCAACAATTTTCGCACTTGTCGCACTTTCGCACGTCACAAACATATAACCAGGGCTCATTTAGAGACATCAACATAAAGCATCTACCACAGTCCTGCGGTTGCCCAAATTAATGTCAAAGGTATAGGTGTTGTATTCCCACACCTTTACACACAAAAATATTTCTCGATGTCAATTTGCCGCTGGTCTTTTTACATTCCATTGCAAATTTTAATATCATGTGACAAAACAAAATGTCAGGCTATACTGAAATATGTTTTACGTAATCTCGTCAGTTCTTTATACATAATTATGTATCGCCTGACGCAGCAGAGCAGTGGAAGTTAACTTATTTTCATAATGTTAAAATTTCAAGTAAATATTTCTCATCTTTTAGTACCTCATCTTTACACAAACATGTGTTTATTTATCGATCATTTTAAATTAATTTACGAGCTCAATTTAACTTAAGACAGGTTTTATATGCAAAGGCTCACCTTGCGTGCTATATCTTTGCCTCAATATCTCGGCCGGATCTATTGCTGGGGCATACCAAGGCCTGCGCGAGTAGACCTTCTTCCTGTTGACCGTCCGTTCGCTGTCATCAATTTCCCGATAGCCTGACGGTGACAGGTTTAACATCTCTAAACATCTGATGATACCTGAAAAAGAAAAATATGTTTTAAAAACTACGAATAGTGTTAAGGGAAGGTGTTAAGGGATAGTGTTAAGTCTTAAATACATATTAATATAAATGATTAATATATATTACCAATCAATATGAAATCTTATTTATAATTTAATATCGCGCTATATAACTTTTAACGTTTTCAATTGATTTCTTCTGGTCTATTTGTCGTTTTCATATTTTACTTTCTCTATATGTATATTTAATTATTTTGTTGTCTACCTAAATTGGTTGATTTCCTAAATGGGTAGATACGAAATTCAACTAAATGCTGAGTAAATATGGATGGTAACCAACGATAGTAATCGAAATCAGGATGGAAACCAACACTTTTTCTTTTAAAGTAAAAAGCAGTATCTGGTGAGACAACTGGCAGAATCAATTTGCTCGTGTTTTTTTTATATCAAATTGTCAATAGTATCATGTTTATGTATTTTTATACTTTTGTACCGTATTTATGTAATGTATGTACCTATGTGTAATTTGTATTGGTGTAGTATAATGATAGGTGTGTATTTTTGTGATTTTGTATTCAGCTGAAATTGGTTTTAGTATAAAATTAACTGTAAACAAAATGCACCTAATTCCTGTTTTCTCTGCATCGCCCAATGGTTGACTGGTAGGAAATGCCTTTCGCATTAAGTCCGCATATGCACCTAATGTGCATGACGTGTAAAATAAATAAATAATAAATATGTAAAAAAACGTGATTTCAATATTATTGCGTCAATATTGTAATTCTGATAGTACGTCGATATTAACGGTAGAGAAAATATTTCGGATACTTACATAACTGTGCCAAGAAAGCAATCAATCATTACGTGACACTAGCTCTTGATTATATTATTTGGCGGACGATAAGACCGATAATAGGCAGCACGTAATCTCCTGCCTATATACATAATATATATTTTACCTTTAGAAAACAGCTCTTATAGCTGAATAAATCCGTTTAAAAAAAATAAAATTAGTTTATCAGTCTCAGGGATTTTTAAATATTTTTTGATACAAATAGTCATAATTAATTGTTTGGAATATGTGTAAAGTTTGTTATTTATCAATCTGATATAAATAAAATAAAATAAATAAATAATATTGGACCACATTCACACAACGCCATCTAGTCCCAAACTAAGCAGAGCTTGTACTATGGGTACTAGACAACTGATAGAGATACATATATACTTTTTTTGTTTTGTAAATACATACTTATTATAAATAAAAACACCCAGACCAAATCAAACATTAAATGTTCATGCACACAAATGTTTGATTTGAGCGGGAATCGAACCCGCGACCTTTGGAATAGCAGTCCGTTACACAAACCGCTACGCCATTCGGTCGTCAAATTTATTTCTGTTTCATTTTAGGTAATATAGTAGTTTTTGAAAATGTTTTTAGAGCTCATTTTATTAATAAAATTATATTACAAACTGTAAACTATTATTCTAAAAAACCTGTACCTATTGGTTTTAATCGTCATTTACAGAATTACTTAAATAAAATTCGTTATGAAGGAAAGTAATAGATACCTAATGTATAAAAATATTATATTAAATGTAAATATCATTTTATTGAATTTGTCATGAAAATGGGTCCATTATTTTTTAAGAAACGCGTTTTAAAAAATTCAGTCAGTAATAGTTACGAAAACTTGTGAAAGATACAAAAAGATACTGTTAATCTAACACTTCTCATTTTGATACGAATCCTGAATCTAGTGAATAACTATTTACGAAACATTGTTAAGAAGTCAGAACACCTATAAAAACGCGTATGAGGTATTATTTGCAAATACTAATCTCTAATCATATTTTGTTTTCATCTTTTTCAGTTAAAATACTTATACTCCTTACCAAAAGATTTACATTGTTAAAGTTTTTCGTAACAAGTAAAGCAAAAAAATACATCAAGATATTTATTTTACACAGCAAAGAATACCTTTACTTATTTTCTACTTTAGACAGGCGCCGAGGTAGTAAACAACTATTAACTTTACTACGCCTCCACAAGCTTTAGTTTTTATTACAACTCGTTTGCAAATGCCTCTATTGTAGTTGTTGGCATTATGGAATTGTTATTAAAGTTCAAGGTAAGTATTAAAATCTAGTTTTGATACGTCACTATGTATGTTTCGAGACTATATAAATGAGAGTATATGAAAGCGCAGGTGATGATTTATAAAAAGTAATTAAAATAATTAGACATTACTATTTTCTTACTGTCTGCTTGCTAGCAACTTATACTGAAAATTGTCATCTCAGCGTCCAATATAATGGACAAAAATAAAATACATAAAGATTATTAAGTGTTAACTGTATTAAAATTTAAAATCTTTATGTATAACATATAATGTAAAAGGATAACGTATTCAAACACATAAAAATATTTAAATTTTCTACGTAAATTGATTCAAAGTTTATTTTTGCGATTTTCATCTCTTGTAAATTTTCCTTCTCCTCCTTTTATCGAAGGGCTATTTTTAAACTCACAACTTTGCTTCGGTTTTTATACAATATAAACTAAATTCTAGGGATATGATGATGATAGTAGAGTTATTAAAAGTATAAAGTTATAATCCATAGTTCTTATACTTTAGATTTTATTGATATCTAAAAACCCCGGTATCCTAACTGACTCACTGATGGTCATCAAAATTCTTAGGATACTTCCTAAAGTCCTAGAAAGCGGAAATTTGGTATGTAAGCTAATATTAGGATACAAACAAAAAAGAAATCTGAAACTTGTAACTTTTGTCCTCTCTTCCAACCCCTTAAACTAGAGGATGGAAGTTTGTATGAGGCTGCCGAAAATGTTGATGCTAAAGGTGTAAAAGTTCTAATGTGTAAGATATACACCCAAAAAGAAAAAAGAAAAATTAACAAAATTAAAAATATTTTCATAAACAACTTACTAAAAGAAGTGAAACCAATTTTTCAGGTAGCGAAATAAATTTTCACTTACGCTCATGTGACGGTAGCCAAACGGCCAAGCCACGTATTTTAACTTCAATATGGAGTTGGTAAAGCTAGGGCTTGTAGAATTATGGCGTATAGAGTTAGAAGCTTGTCTCTTTATGAAATTTAATGCGTGGTGGGATAAAATATTTAAGAAGAACAATTTAATTGGTCAAAAGATTATTTGTTTTATAAGCAGTTTATTGCTAACAATGAATCTAGAGCTTATCAAATAATTTTAGAACTCAAGGCAAATATAGAATTAGATTTACGTTGTTGAACAGTCGTTTTTAAGAAACATACCTTCAAAACCCATCACAGATAAAAGGCAATATGCAAAACCTTAAGGCGTCTTGCGATTACAGTGTCATTGGGATGCCTCCAATAGGAGACGGTAATTCTTTATATGTGACAGAGGATATAAAAGAACTTCAGAAACCTATAAATTTGTGAGTCCGTTATTCTGGTGAACTGCCAAATAAAGTTTTATAATAAAACCCTTACAAAACAGTCTACAAACAAATACTTAAATTCTAATTCGCTATTTCCACGAAAACTCTACTCAAATAATATAGAAACAATTGTTGGGCTTCTTAGGAAAACTGTAATTTTAATAAAAGGAAAGTCCAAAATATCCCATAGCCACTGAGTACATCTTACTGGTAATTAGAAGTTTATGGTCCGTGGGAATGGCTCGCTAGAGAAATAATTAAGGACAATCGGTGACCCGAGTCCCATTTCGTAAAATAGCTATCTTACTGGGAGTATAAGACAATCTCAGATCACAGATGTTCGCCATTAAATAAGAAGATTAAAATTTTTAGTAAATCAGTCATCTTATTGCGCCTTCTTTCAAAGAGTTATCAAAATAAAGTATTTTAGGTATATGGTATACAAAAAATAACAGTATTATGGGTATACAGTAGTGTATAGTATAGGCGTTTTACGAATTTATTGTATTTAGGTTGGATTTTTTGGGTAGTTTTTTTTATTTCTCTAAAAAAGTTTTTTGTGTACCTAATAGATCTTAAAATTTTGCAGATTCGTATCATAATCGTTAGTTTGATAAAGAGTTGATTTAGTCTAAGGAAGAAGTTAAATGCTATAAAATTTTCTAACTAACTGTTGTAGCTACTAGCTTTTGAAACTTTTTGTACTGACGCTACGAGCGCATAACAAAAAAAAAAGAAAAAAAAAAAAAAAAGAAAAATAATTAGAAAAAGTAATTTAAATAAAATAAAATACAACTGTTCATTGAAAACAAAAGGCTCACGATGATCATTTCTAAACAATTATTATGCATTTATAAAATAAAACAGTCGATTTTTAACAAACATTTATTGCGTAAGCAATCATCATACGCTATAATAATATTTATAAAAGGTTTTATAAAATGACCCCTGATCCGCGACTTCGTTCGCGTGGAATTTGAAAAGCGCTGGGTTGGTGGGTTCGATTCCCGGACCGGGCAAAATTTTAAAGGGTTTTTCTGAAATAAAACATTGCCTAAGTTACTCCTTATATAGACAGCTGATAGTAAAATATTATCAAAATTAATCCAGTCGTTTAGAAGATTACGAAACAAACAGACAGACAGATAAACAGACAGACAGACAAAAAAATTAATAAACCGCTTTTAGGCATAGGTATCCTGGAAATAACCGCGTGAGCATTAAAAAACCTATTATTTTGACATTACAAACAGACACTTCAATTTTATTTATTTGTATAGATGGTATTATTATTTTTTAAATTTTTTTTGCTCCTTTTTTTTAAATATTAATTTTACCTAAGTAATTTTAAAATTGTGTTTCATATAAATAGTATAAAAGTCTAAACAGCGTTTTTTTTTTACAGATTTCTTTTAGTTTCTTTTTTCTCTTTTAGTTTGTGGAAATCTTGTCGTTTATAAATTTAATCGCAAATGGAATTAAATAGTAAAAAACAACCACTAAGAAAGCCACTGATATATACCTATATGGCATAACTTTTAAATGCTGTCGTTCTAAATACGTATTCGTATGATTTCAGAATTTACTTAGAGTCTGCGTACTATTTACTTGAAGACAAATCTCGAAATTCAAGCTGTGGTACTACGTAATCAAATAAAAGTAAACTACTACTTCAGCTTATTGCCGTCCACCAAGTCCACTCAAAGAGCGCCAACCATCCCGGTCTTGGCTACCAGCTATTTTCCTCAAGTCGTCGGTCCATCGTACCGCAGGGTGCCTACACTACGTTTGCTTAAATAAAAGTAGATATAACTTTTGGGAATTGAAACTTAAAAAGGGCGAAGGGACTTTTTGATAAATGTAAGAATTTAAGTTTTTAATCGTAAAAGCGTGCTGATTTAAGTGCAAAACAGGGAAGTTTTTGAAATATCCCAAAACGAAAGTAAACATTTTAGTAAGCCATCGTTGAAAACTTATTGTTTTTAGAAAAATTATAAATAACTTGTAGTTAATAAGTTTGGAGAAAAAAAAGTTAGAAAAAATATTTCAAACGTACTCGTAGCTTAGATTATCTAACTCAACAAAGTATTTTGCGTCGGACGGAAGATTCTCGAGACCTTGTTTACTAGAATGGTAATTAAACAGTTTTAACCATGCAAATAGGTTTAAAGCCTTAGAAACTATAACTATACAATTTCTATAAGTTATGTGACTTGCACGGGATCAGCAAGAATCATTAATATATTGAAGTAATAACTAGCGACATAGCGAGTTATGCAGACAACTAAGTTTACCTTATTTAGAAACAGTTATATGTTAAATGTTTCAAAATTCACGAAAGTAAACCCTTTTGCAAAGGTCAGTTTCTACTGTTACTACAAGATATATATTAATTTATTACTTAGGTAGACTATGATCATTAGAGTGAAGCCATTTGCAAGTTGTGGCTGTGAAATATAGACTTGAAGAATATAGAAAACCCACCCATGAGATACGGAGAGAGCTTGCATTTATTTATGATATACTAGCATTTGCCCACGATTTTGCTAGCGTAAAAGTAATTTGACTGAGATAGTTGGCGCTCCATAGGGGAGGCCTTCGTTCAGTCCCATAGGCGTATATACTACTACGACTAACTACTATTTCTACCATTTGGGAACAGTTTTTAATGAAATATATTTCGTTCTGAAAAACATGGGGTGTACCCTATGTCTTTTTTTGTACAATAAACATCGTGTATTTTTTCGTATATTTTTCAACTTCTCTAACAACAAAATTGTTATAAAAAAGTGAGCACTGCCAGAGTAAATAAACAATGAATAAAAATCTACAACTAGCTATTAAAACATGATCTATGTTAGTTTACGTATAAGATAACATAGCTCAGTTAATGTACGTTACTTGGACAAAATAAATATCTAAGTTTATACGAGCTTATACAGCATTTCTGAGAAAAGGTAAAAGGTAAATGTAGACTATATATGTACGTGTAAAGAAATGGGGAAACTCAGTTTCTACCTTTATTTATTGCGAAAATAACTTTATTTTACTGAATACTCAGTATCATATAAATCATAATCTCTTCTGAAAGCTTTTCGAGTAATTATATTTAAGATTTTTGGTGTCAAGTTAATTAGAAGAAATTTATGTATTACTTTTTATTGTTAGGAAGAATCGCGGTATGAACCGTTTCGGAGGCAGTTTTGATAACGGGCGCCTGTATTTGAACAAGTTTATACTTCTTTGTGTAATAAATGAAAGTACAGATTTTACGTTTTCAATCATCAATCGGTGAAAGTCAAATTGAAACCAAATTTGAAAACTTCACTTATATTTCTGTTGACCTATTTTAACTTAGAATATTTTTGTTTCCCGCCGTGAATGTGTATGGACTCATAACAAAGGTTCACATTTTTATATATGTATATATGCATACTTATCTATGCTCTCGTCCATTTTGCAATTTTACACTAACGTTGCTTTAAGATAACTTTAAAGAAATATTGGGCAGTTAAATTTATAGAATATGACTATTGAATGGGACTTGTTTGATAAAGTATATAAAGGCAGGTCACGTACATCTAATAGTTTATAAAACTAATATTACTCTATCCTCTGAAGTTTTGCCTTTATTTTGTACGTACATATGTATTATTCTAATAATTCAAGTCAATTTTGTAAAAGAAATCATAACATTAAGTTATTTGAATAAGCCGAAAATTTTCTTAGTACTATATTACATTGACTTGTATTGATTTCGTATTTAACGTAATGTATATGACGTTATTGATGATGGATATTGTAAATATAAAGATAGGTTAAGTGAACATGAATTTTCTCGCAACATTTATCTTCACTATATGCTCCTTATCGAGCTAAAAGTGTTCAGGTCCTTGATTGTTCTTTATAAAGTAAAATACCAGCGTTGACTTTAGTATTACCTTAATACTTTTTTAAAACCAGTCACTTTTGTTTGATCACATCATAGGTACTCGTACAAAGACGAAACTTGTGGACAATTTAGTGTAGGTATGTTTTACAGTTTATGCCTATAGAGCAGTTTTTTGTTTAAATTTTTGGCGATTCAAATGATTTTGACAAACACGTCAATATCCTACAGTACGAGTATATTGTTAATACTGATTGTACATTGTACATGTTGGAACTGGACCATTACAACTGAAATTTTAAATATATTTTTTCACCTTTAAATGTTTTAGGTATGTTAAAATTGCAGGAATATGTTCTACAACAGACATTATCCTTTCAGCTTCCAGTCTAGTCCAAAGAAGGACAGCCGTTTGAATTATGATTTTATAATTTAAATTAAAACAATTTTCCTAAGGGCGACAGGACCCAGAATGTAATAAGACGAGGTGACAATGACAACATTAACCCTGTAACAAAACATTTTCTCAGGGACAGTAAAAGCTTCGGGATTTGTTTTTTCTCTCAGTCTCACTAATTTAACTGGCACTGTTTCGTAAATCTGGTTATCTTTGCTACTCTCTCTCAGCCTCTTTCTCTCCCTCTCTCCGCCTCTATATTTTTCTTGACTCTTGTTTCTTTTTTAAATTAATAAGTTCTTAACGGTAACCGGAGCCTGTATTTAAATAAAAATATTAAAAGCCTACGGTATGGCTTGTACGGTAAAGCTCTATAAACTTGTTTTTTCAACCAAATTCATTATAATGACACTAAACTACCTGTACTGTAAGTAAAAAAGACTAATACTGTGTGAAGAAAGCTATTAGACTGATTTCACCTGGTGGAACTTGCTACACATAATGAGTTAAGTCACTTGTACTGTTCCAGAATATTCATTCACTAAATTTAATCGGTTTCGTATCACGGCCTTGTCAAA